TCAGTCTTGCATGCCTATATCTGGTCATATGTGCAGCCATTTTGAGGATGACATTATGTAATATAGCAACCATTGTTAATATCCTGTCACCATGTTTTGAAATTCTGTATCATTTTTATTGCTCTCTATGCTGTTTCATTTATGTATTTTTTTATTTTTTAAATGAAAAATAAAATTTATATATACATATAAGGATAGCTGATAATATAATACATATAAGGTATATTGCTGATGTCTGTGGTTTATTGAAACAGTTAATGCTTAAAATGTTCTTTTTTCTTGGCCAATTTTGCATACTTGAATTTGGTAATCAGAATGACTGATCTGAAAACAATATGCAGTAAAAGAACCATTGTTGAACTCCTACCATCTTGTATGGTGAAGTGCTACATCATTTCCAATGGTTTTTTTTAAATTGTTATTATTTTTTAGTTGTTACTGTCTTTGATTATTTGATCAATCTTACATTCTTATGTCTAATGAACTGAGCAACTTCATTGAAGATAACAGTATATAATATAGCAACCACTGTAAATTCCTATCATTTTGTTTTGAAGTCATGTATCATTTTTGTTGTTTTTGTGTTGTTTTGATTTTGTCTTCATTGATTAATTTTTTTATTTTTAAAATAAAAAAATAGCAAAAAAAATTTTAAAAATTCGTTCTTTGAACAGATTAATAAAAAGATAAATTGCTGCTGGGCGTAGTGGTGCACATCTGTAAGCCCAGCACTTGGGAGGCTGAGGCAGGAAGATTGCTGCCAGTTCAAGGCCAACTTGGACTACATAGTGAGTTCCAGGCAGCCTGAACTACATAGTGAGACCCTGTCTCAATCCCCAATCCCCAAAAAGGATAAATTTCCAATGAAACTAACATGGGAGAAAGAATGCACAAATTAAAAATAGTTAAAATGTAAAAAAGGACTAGCCAACTAAATAAAAATGAAACCACAATGTAGTTTATAAGCTAAAGGCAATGCCTGAAAGGAAATCTATAACATTATATTCTTACCTTTAAAAAGAAAGACTTCAAATCGATAATCTAATTCTTCACCTGAGGAAACTACAAAAATAAAAGCAAAAATAAAGCCAAAGCAAACCACAGGAAGAAAGTAATAAATATGAAAACAAAAACCAATTAAACGAAAACAGAGAAAACAGAGGAGAAAAAATCAGTGAAATCAACAGTTGGTTTTTTAGATTGACACAACTGACATACTACTAGTAGTCAGACTAACAAAAGAAGAAACATTATTAAAATGAAGAAGGTAAAAGATACAAGTTACTAGTATAAGAAATGACAGAGAAAAGAAAGAGAAAAGCAGACCTCACAGGCAACGCGGCCGGTACGCAGTAAGCACACAGTCCTGTACAGAAAGACTCAGTCGCAGAGACGAGACGACCGCTCCCTGAGGGGCACAGCCTACCGGAACTCACTCAAGAAAACCACGGGAACCTGACGGTTACATGAAGGAAACTGAAGCTGTAGTTCTAAGGGTTCTAACCAGAAAAAAGTCAGGCCGAGATGGTTTCCCGGGCAAGTTCTACCAAATACCTACGGAAAAAATAACAAATTTCTATGCAATCTCTTCCAGAAATTTGAAAAGAAGGGCACACTTTCAAGTTCATTTTCTGAGGCAAGTGATTACCCTGAGATGAAGAAGGAAGAAGAAAAAAGGAAGGAGAGGAGGAAGCGGAGGAGAGCGCGAGGGGGGAAGCAAAGAAGGAAGGAAGGAAAACTACCCAATCCCTGGGCGGAGCTGGGTGGGGAGTCGTCCCGCGCGGCTCCCTGTGCCGAGGCACAGTAAATCTCCACAGCGTCCCGACTCCAGGATGCGGCTGCCACCGCCCGGCCGGAGGGACGTGGACATCTGCCCCGATAAAGCCAAAACCACGACGTCAGGAGAAAGTCTCCTGCCCTCAACTCCTGGGAGGCCAGCTTCTAGGCTGGGGGAGCTGCAGGGTGGCCAGTACCGGGTTGAGAACTCCCACGCGGGCAGGGTACGGTGGTGCGCACCGGGGATCTCAGTAGTGGAAGAGAATGAGGCTGGAGGTGGTGCCCAGCCCGGGCAATTTCACCACTTAGCAAGAATCTGTCTTAAAATCAAAAAGGACTGGGGAGGCAGTTCAGTGTGAAGGCCCTGGGTTCAATTCCCAGTACTGAAAAAACTACTAAAAAATAAAAAACTAGTTCAATTTTAAAAGGCACCAGGAGCCAAGTGTGGTAGTGCACACCTGTAATCCCAGCCCTTGGGAGGCTGAGGCAGGAGGATTGCTGCAAGTTCAAGGCTACAAAGGGAGTTCAAGGTCAGCATGAATGGCATAGCGAGACTCTGACTCAAAAATAAAAATAAAAATAATTAAATAAAATAAAGGCCTTGTGCCCTTCTAGAGACAGGAGGCCAGGAGGCCAGGAGGCCTAGAGCGGGGGCAGCAGTGCAAGGCCTGCTTACAAAGGCGCCTCTGCAGGCCTCTATTGAAAAATTACCCAGTTGGGTGCAACCTAAGGTGTAGTGGTAGATTTCAACCACCAGAGGGCAACAAAGGATCAGTTTTGTTTTTAGTGTTTCAGGGCCCAGAAAATGTATCCGCTGCTCAACTTGCGCAAGCCACTGGCAGCAAATTTGTGGCTTGTTAGCCCGCGTATCCGACCTCGGCAGAGACACCGCAAGGGGGCACCAGCCCCAGCCTTATCGCCAGAGGCTGCGCCACTTTGATGCCACTTCCCGTCCAGCCTGGGTGCCATCTCACTCGCTCACGCCTCTAAACTCATATCCTGGCAGGTCCTCTGCCTGCAGAAGCCAGGCTTTGACTTGAAATGTTGGGGTGCAGTGCAGCACCAAGGCTGTGTCGTGGGGCACACAGTGGTGCCCCCGCAGCCTCAGCCCACTGTGCTCCCCATCACCACGAGGGCCACACTGGGGCACACTGGGCCACCCAGCCACATGCAGCCGCTCTGGGGAGACAGGCTGACAAGCAGTCCCCCGGCGCTGCCGGGGCGCACGTCCCAGGGTGGGCCGTGGTCACCGGGGTGTTGTCCAGGTGCCTGAGGAAGTCCTGGTCCGAATCCGATTCGATAGGATCCTCAGCTGAGGAGGGCCGCCCGGCAGCAGCCCTGTCCACCCACATCTGCAGCTTGTCAGGTTTCTGGGACCCAGCCGTGTGAGGACGCAGGCTCTGGGGGACGGCGGCCACATCTGCATCTGCAGCTCAGCAAAGCCCTGGCACAGGCTAGCGCTCCCCAGAAATACGGAGAGGGAAAGAGGAAAAAGGAAGGAGAGGGAGGGAGGGAGGGAGCTTCAGATGGAGGGCAGCGGGGCGTGGCCAGCAAGGGCCACGTGAGGACCTGGGGGCGGGCAAGGAGCTGGCCTGGGCATGGCGCTGCACGCTGAGGAGGGTAAGCGTGGCGGGCACGCGGCTCCGTGAGGTCTCGTGGGGCTCTGGGTTTTGCCTGTGGCATGGCGTGCTTGTCCGCTCCCGAGAGCTGACTAGTACATGTTCAGGAATTTTACAGCTCATGTGTAAAGAGGGCCATTGTTAAAGGTTAAATTGTACTAAAAACAAGGGGCTTAAACACACCGACTCACTCGTTATCTGACCGTGTCTTTGCGGCTCCCCACGTGTCCGTGTGACCTGCTCTGTGCGTCTCTCCCCGCCCACGTGCACGGTTGTGACCTCAGGTTTGGTTTGGAATTGGCCTCAGTGGCACATTAACACCATGTAGTGCTGCGTGTGGTGGCGCACTCCTGTAATCCCAGCCTTCGGGAGGCTGAAGCAGGAGGATCGTTGC